GTTACCATACTGGCTAGACAAGGACAGCGGGAGTCCTGATTTAGGACTATGTCCCGAATGCTTCAAAGCTCGGCCAGGGGATTATGCTTGGGCAGAGGCCAAACGTCCGCTTATGTGGAGGAGGACCTCCTCTAGCCTCTCGATTCGTCGCTCAGCAATATCTCAGGAATCGATTTTTGCCTCTCTGATCATCTCTCTGAACAGTAAAGAATCGAGCCACCAGTGTGGAGATATCAGCGCGCTACTGAAATTCCGTGCTACGTCGGCGCGAGGATAGAAGGTACCCTTGTACGGTACTCGAGTCTCGGACCAGTGCATCCGAAGTCCTCATCGATCATTCACCAGAACGTGTCTGCCATAATGGGACTCACCGCTTAGGTCTCGTGGCTGGGTCAATCAGCCAACACTCCGTTGATTACGAATCTTTGCGATCCGAGCCATCATCTATGGACCGAACACTCAACTGACAGCCACCCAATTTATCAATCCCCCAATTCTTTTAATTTCGGTGTACAAAAGAAGGTCCCAAGGCTAGCAATAATGATATAAGAAATGAAGAAGCTGTATGGATATCCCGGAATGATGTGAATATACCGTACCGTCGGGGTTATCTGCTTCGGTCTCGATGTATACAAGTTGAATAATCTCGCCGGCAGTGTGGATGATAGTCAGCTCAGCAAGCTCTTCGACGATCTTCCAGGTCGTTGTATTGTGTTCCTGGAGGATGTCGATGCCAACAAGGCTGCGCAGTGGCGCTTGCCAGATTCTGATGGCCATGAGAGCTTTGGTCGAGGAGATTCTAAAGTTGAGGGTGAGGAAGGGCAACTAACCATCCCGAGAAGCTCGATAGAGCACTGATTCGGCCGGGCAGAATTGACCGGCGAATGAAGTTCGGCCATGCGAAGTAGGGTGGAAGTGCCAGGTTGTTCCTCTGATATTCCTCTTGATCTGCGAAGATGGGATTGGGCCGCAGAACCGTATTAACGACCAAGGAAAAGTACTATAGCATGTCTCCTGGTCCATACTTCTCCCCGTGTGTACTTTCGTGACATACTGTAAAGCTGCTGTACTGTGATTGGTGCCCGTAGTAGCTGTTGCTGAGTGGTGACTTAGGATAGGATCCCTGCTCGCATTGGGAAAGATAGCACGAAGGCAGTAGAAACTTGATCCTACACGGGTACAGACACGCTAGCCCGGGGTAAAGCCGCTCTTGGCAACACATTGTTGCCAAGAAAGGCTGAAGGAGGAAGAGCTCTGTAATCCATCCGTAACTTTTTCAGCGCAACTCTTGGCACGTGTCGCGCGCGCAGCAAACACATTCTCTTCCTCCAATGTCTATCTTAGACATTATCACATTAGCCTTTTGCAAGCATGAAGGGACAAGACAGATGTTGAGTTGTGCTGTCAAAGAGTTTGCCGTACATCAAGCCTCCCTAACTTAAGCACGAGTGGTTACAGGAAGGCGCGTCGTTGGACCGAGATTGAACCGTAGAGTGATAGGTTAGGGTTAGCCTGAGCAAGATTAGCTAAGGGACCAGCTGGCATCCCGCGCCGCGAAGAATTCAAATCAAGTCAAATCAAAAGACTTTTGACTTTTGACTTTTAACTTTTGAAAGTGTGGCCCTTAGATACCTACCGTCCACGATACGCAAAGTCATTAGATTCGCTAAAATTTAGGGCACGGGGAAGAGAGCCTTGTGCGGAGATCATGAAGCGAATAGCGCTGTCTTCACGATGACCGAAGCGCTGGAAAGCACATGTTGGGCACGGGCCACTCTTAGTGTCTTGGCTGGAAGTATTTATCGTGGTCTTGCAGAGCTCAACCCATATATCTAAGAACTGATACCAAGATGGCTACCCCACCTTCACCGAGTTTTCAACCGCAGGCCTGCAGAGAGACTATTAAGGCAACTGAAGGAAGATTGACTGAGATTTACGCCAGGGCTGAAGAGCTATGGAGAGATAGGGAGTTATCTCAGATGAGGCAGCGTTTCAAAAATGGAATCGACGCAGTTATTCCCGAATTACAACAGGCGCTTGAAACAATCCTTAGCGAGCAAGAGTCTGACGAAGATATCCTTACAACGCTGTTGTTCGCTTTGAACAGCATCCTTGGCTTCACAGTTGGTGGTACGGAATTGGTACTTACAATTGTCTTGGATGTTAACACTTACTAGTCATTCGCGTCCACAGCAACAACGAGTATTTCGAGTCATTTCAACAATGGTGGTACTGGGAAGATTTACGTAAAGAAACCAAAACAGAGTCCAACCTTCATTTCCTTGTAGTCCATCTTTCGGAGTGCTTCTGCGACGAAACAGAAAGCCAGTCCGCAATAACGTCGTCCTGTGATGTGATCGAATATCTGCTGTCTACGGTTAAACAACATCTGAAAATATTGGAGAGGCAGAATACAAGAGCGAAACGCTTTGCAGGAAAGGACTAGAGCGACCATAGCTTGAAAATCTACATCCAAATGCATGGTCACTTGAATTGAAATACGCTCAGAGAATTCCCAGACGTTCGTGTTGACATAAAACGGTTGGCCCTATCCGTGAAGAAAATCCCCCAAAAAGGTGGACGAGTCCTGACCCCAATGAAACGAAGGACTTTAATCTTTCTATATAGAAGGTAAGAGACTATATAGAAGTATATTTAGATATAACTAAAAACTTGCTAGAGTCTTAATCCTAGAGTTATTAGAGCAAATGTAAGTTTTCAAGAATAAGAGAAAATGTGTGTGTTGCGCGCGCGACATGCCAAGAGTTGCGCTTAAAAAGTTACGGACGGGATAATTAAGTCATCCGATGGATCATCCCTTGGGATATAGATAGGGGCGCAACGTGTGCAGCGTCTTGAGCGCCCTTCCACATTACGGCTATTTTTAGTACCAGGAAGAAAAATGGGCCGGACCACAACCAGCGCAGTGTATTTATGTCTGCTATCATTATGAGACACGAACGATCCTACGAACAACAATATCGCCCTGAAAGATGCTGCGGGAAGCAACAGACATCGAGCGCATCATCTCCGAGATAGACTCTTGTCGAGAACAGCTGCATACGACGACCCTAGAGAGGCTGGTAGAGGAAAACATGAACTTGGCGCAGCAGATCCGCATGTATCGTACGTATTGCGACTCGATCCAGCGAGCATCAGACATTGCAGTAGCTAGCATGGAACGATTGCAGAACGCTCGCAGCTACTGCGGAGAACGGACTCGAATTCCTCGGCGTGAATCCATTAGATTTAGCTGGATATAAATAAAAATCCATGTTACTGCCTGCCTTTAGTAAGTGCTAAAATGGAGAAGCAGCTTAACCAGACAGAAGACTAACCAAGGCGAGAAAAGAATACATGCGGTGTCAGAGCGTTGTTAGCAGGCATGATCATGGGAAGTGAGCATTCTTTCCATGCCAATGGACTCAAATTTTTATTAGACTGCCAAATGGGAATAGTATATAACAGCTAGCGTGTAAATTATTTGTAAAGCGTGATGCTTTCATGCTGAGTCCAAGCGGTGAACCCCCGAAATGGATCGAATATTACTAAAAGATTGACT